AGACTGCGCAGCTTGATCTAAAATTAAAAAATAAAATAAAAATAATTTAGAACAGGAACCGGAAATTTTTAAAACAGGAAATACGTCATGGATGTAAACAAAAATGGTCGATTTATTATTTCGCTCACCATTAGAAGCTGGGCGTTTGCTTCATTTTTCACCTCGTCGGGTTCTTTTCTGCTTTTCGGCCGTCGGAGCAGGGACGTCCCCGGAAGAGAGGAGGGCTGGCTGGGGCTGAGGTTGTTGAGACGATGGAGGACGGCGCACTGAGATGGATGCAACAGAACCAGGAGCAGGAGGAGCTAACCTGGTAGCGGGACCAGAACCGCTACCGGACGCACCTGACCTGGGGTCTTAAAGACGGTGATTCTGCAGTTGCGGTGAGCTGACAGATGCACGATGTGAACCCTCTTTTTAATAAAAGCCCACTTTCGTTTCTTTGGGTGCGCTGTCTGATACAGAAAAAAAAATACAAATTTTTAGATGACGATTCTGATAGATAGACAAAAAAAGATAAACAGATGGTGTCAAAAAAGAAAGGAGACTTACTTGTTATCTGATCAAGATCAAAACAAGCAAATTATTCACCATCAGAAATAACAGCATGAACCTGTGCGGTGGTTGTGAACTTCTGCGCTGAGAAAAAAAATAATGCATTTTTAAAGAAGCGAATAAAAGAAATGTGAATTAAAAAATGGTTTTGGTTAAATTAGCAAATAAACTTACCGGCCATAGTTTTCTCCTTTGTTTATTGATGAAGTAGTTCTGTTTACAAGGATGCAAAAGCAAAAAAAATCAAGAACAAGGCTGGAAGGCTCTAGCGAGGCGAGAAGATTGAAAATGGATACTGATCCGCAGAGGTCTACTTTTATAGAGAAATTTTCCCACCTTTTTTTCTCAAACAATGGTGCTTGCAGTAGAAAATGTTTTCTCATGACCTCAGAAGTCAGGCTGGTCATTGGTCAGGCTAACAGAGAAAGAATAGGAGAAGAACGATTGAATGTCTTGTGTTTTATGATCGGCAAGGAGAAATGGACAACTTTTTTCCTGCCTTTGTTCGAGCATCTGTCCTTTTGAAGGAGTCAGAGCAGCAATACAGTACACTTTTGACCACAGAAGTCAAAGTGCTCAGGTTCATTGACTGCTGTCCTTATGTCCTACCATACAATGGGACAGCGAAGAGAAAGGGGGAGTCATGCGTTTCCATGGAAGCGCACCCATGAGCAGCCAGACAACAGGAGAGCACAAGAAGGTAAACTGGAGTTTAAATTTGTATATTACAGTGTTATTTTGGTCAAGCAGCATGGCAGAACAGTGGCATGCTTTTTTTTTCCCCGGGAACTCTGGGTTTCTCCATCAGCCCAAAAACTTGCATGTTAGGTTCATTGATAACCCTATAAAACCTGTGAATGACTGTTTGTCACTGGTCTCTATGTGTGGCCCTGTGAATGACTTGTGACCTGTCCAGAGGGATACCCTGCCTGAGAAAAGAGAGGGCAGTGTGTGTGTGTGTGCATGCATGTGTGTGTGCGTGCGTGTGTCTGCGTGTGGGGTGGGGTTGAATGGAACGGAGTCAAAGAGGCAGAGAGAGAGAGGTAAGGAGAAACAAACACTTTAACCTTTGAGGTCAGGCTGACCAGGCTCACGGCATGATGGTCAATGAGACAGTGGAGAGAAGGGGTGGGGTGGGGTGGGGGTGGCTTCATGTGTGTGTGTGTGTG